CCCCACTCCCACCTCCCGTTCCCAACTTTCGCTCCTCTATCGCGAAATGTTGCGACTGTTCCCACCTCTCCTTTTGTTTTCGCGAATTAGCGCCCACTCCTGCTCTCGCCCCTTGAAGCGAAGCAATGCTTCGCACCTTTAAGTCGCCAACAGGTAGTAATTTCGTGATGGTGCGAATGGTTCGAACGAGAAGAAGAAATCGCACGACTCTCCTTCTGATTTTGACACGACCTGATTTGTGTTCTTCTTTGGACTTCCTCGGGATTGAGGAAGAGAAATGCAAGCAATAGTTCTTTGCGGTAGAAGGAAGAAGAAAGAAGAAGAAGAAGATTATTCTCCTGTGGCTTCTTCTTAGTGGTTTGTGCGGTAGAAGGAAGAAGAAAGAAGAAGAAGAATATTATTCTCCCGTGGCTTCTTCTTAGTGGTTTGTGGCAGAAGAGAAATTGATTTTATTTCTCTTGTAAGTTTATCTTTTTCAGTGTATCTCGGTGCAGAGAGAAAAGAAGAGAGAGTAATAAAGTGAGAGATCCCTCTTGTAAGTCGAGACGATCGACTGGTGTATATTTCTCAAGTATTGAATCCTCTGCAACTCCGTGGACGTAATCAATTTGCCGAACCACGTAAATTTGTGTGTTCCGCTGTGTTATTGTTTTCTTGTGTGAATTTTTTCGTTCTGTTTTTCGCTTCGTAGTCGATCGTTCTTCTATTATTATATATATTCCACAACAATGCGCACAATTTCTTGTACAAACTCGACTACTCTTCTTTCACTAGTGTACTCTGCTCATTCATTCTTGAGCAAGTCTTACCAAATTTTTTTCGATTCTAGAAACGTTTGATTAAGCTCCTATTATATATATTCCACAACAATGCGCACAATTTCTCGTACAAACTCGACTACTCTTCTTTCACTAGTGCACTCTGCTCATTCATTCTTGAGCAAGTCTTACCAACTTTTTTTCGATTCTAGAAACGTTTGATTAAGCTCCCTTAAATGGATGAGTTCTACAATCTTTCAAAAACTCTAAATAATGTAACCCACAATAGAGAAATAAACCCCCAATTTAATAAAATAAAACCAATCTTCTTCCAATCTTAGGATTGGATCCATTATATCAAATCTTGTCTTTCTTTTAGGTTCGCTTGTTCATGACAGGTTAAACCTTAAATTTCACCCCTTTAAAGTTTTCCATCTAATTAAAATTTTTTTTTCAAAAAGAAAGTCCAAAAGAAAATTCAAAACAAATAGCACAAAATAAAACAATTAAAACAAATAAAGAAACTATCGAGCTTCAAAAAGGTCCAACTACCATACAAGTCTTGAAGTACTTTGTCTCCTCGAAGATCTCTATGACCGAAGTGGAGCATCAAACTGAAGTTAGCCGATACCCCAACATTCGTCTAGTTTCGTTAATATCCACCCCTAAGTTGAATTTAACCGTTGTCAAGATCTCACTCCTTGTTTAAGAAAATAGCTAAGAGGGAAAAATGCTTCATTGCCTCTATCTTGAAAAGGATGGGATGTGTCTTCTCTTCCCCGACAAAAAAGGAGATTCTGCAAGAAGAAAAATTCAGAGCTTGCTAAGAGAAGAATCCATTTCAGAGCTCGATGCCGGAGTTGTTATTCACCAAAAGAAATTAGTGGATTTGAAAATTACTAAGATAGATGTAGTATAGAAGAATTTTGAGAAGCTATGAGCAGACATTAAACAACTGTCAGAGGGTAGAGATTCTGTCAGCAACAAAGAGAAGGATGATCTCTCAGAGTTCATGGATGAAGATTGCGGGGAAATCAACATGATGGATATCTGAACCTCCTCATTCTTACTAGGAGCACTGCCACCAGTCGAAGATGATGCCGTGAAGCCTTGTAGAGAGTTCTTCAGCAGAAGGACAATCAAATCAGTCATATGAAGAATGGAAGAGATGATGGTCACCCTGACAGCTTTTGATAGCATGCCACAATCACTACAGGCATTGCCGACTGAAGCAAACTAGCCTGAGAACGTCCATGTAGTCGATGTTACATGTATTTTTCCCTGCATTTTACATGTTATTCTTACTACTTTATCAAAAATTTACATCTAAGAAATGTTTTTCTTGAACAAGTGTTTAATATGAGCAATTTGGAACAAAAAAGTGGTCTAAAGCGGTGTGACCATACCACCTGATCAAGAGCTGCGGTGTGATCACGCTAGATATGTCGTGACCATGCCATAATTTGCAGATCTGCAACGTGACCGTGCCAACGTCAAGCATGACCACACCGACCCATTCAACACCTAGGCGTGACCACGCCAGTTTTCGGTGTGACTATGCCGACGAACGAAAAACTCTTTTGTAAGGAATTTTGCTTGCTGAATCTGTGATTTTTGTTATAAGAAGAAGTTTTAGGGCTTCTTAACAGAACTTCTAGGCTGCATGAGAGTGGAGACTGCTGGAAACAGAGTTTAGGGAAATTTTATGTGCTTCTCTTAAAGGTTTTCTTTATCATTAGGTTGGAGCCTTTAAGGGGCTTTTCCACCTTTTTTTGTGAATTGTGAGGGAATATTATATGAAAGGAAATGATGTTGTTATTATGGAGAAAACAAGTTATTGTAAGTTTAATATGGTTCTGTTTCTTGCAATGAAATTTTGAATAGTTTTCTTTGTTGTGATTTTCTTGACGATGCGTGATTAATTTCTTGTTCATGTCTTTATGATAAAAGGGTAGTGAATTTTATCTTGATTTTTCCAGAATGCTTTTCCTTTATAGTTTTCTTTGTGCTTTTATAACCTATGTTGTTAATTAACTTATGAATTTCATTTACTTTTAGTCTTTTCAACTATGACCTTAAAGTATTTCATAAAACTACAACCTCTGAAACCACAATCTCTGAAACCGTTGCGTAGTGTAAATGAAGGTTTAACCACAAAAACTTGAGAGAATAGACATATTCTAGTTGGATTCTACAATCTTTTCAGGAGAACAAAACATTCATGCGGAATGTCATGACGATTGAGGAAGCCTCATAATTGACCATCATTAAATTTATAATGGGGAGTACCACAGGCAAGTATCCATGGATTGTCCCATTTAACTCCTGCAATGTTTTTTGAAGAAAAACTTTCGTAGGTGACACCAAATAACGAACCTTCTGCAGCTCAACACCAAGAATAATTATGTATGTCCATTGTCACACCACATTCATAGAAATGGCAGTTTTGCAGACCCTCTATTTTGTTTCGTAGCAGAGGAGCGCCAATTCACATCATATCTTATCTAGTTGTTGGCGAATGCGCCTGACTAGCCTGTAGAGGAGCAGCACCATCTCTTCATTGATCGACCACGATGTGCTCTGAATTACTATCCACAAGGCAATGTAGCCATTCTGCTTTGACGACATCATAGTTGGTAACATGAAATATATATAGATTACATTACATGTTTTTTTTTTCATTGACATTCAGATGTTGCTGTATTTCTGTCAGATACATTCTTTTGTCTCGACGCCGTTTATTTATTTATTTGACTCTTCTTTAATAAAATTTACTGAACAATATAAACTCTATTTCAAAAAAAAATTAGAATAGGGTAATTTACAAGATATTTCTTCAAACATTTAAAAAAATTATTAAAATGATTGTGCATGACATTTTTTATACTAAATCAAACAGCATACTTTAAGAAAAAATATATATTTACTTTACATTTCAATAAATATTATTTCATGCAGGCCTATCAAAACTCCCACAAAAGAGCTTTGTACATTTTCTATAAATAAATAAAAAATAAAAAATTATATAAATATTCTATAAAAAAATTCTCTTACAATTGAATAAATATTTATTTCATGCAACTTTTCAAAATTACTCGCAAAACAGATAAAGTTTGATTTCCTCAAATTAATTAAATTATCAAACCTAAAATTATATAATTTTAAAATACATTAAAAATTTTATTTTCTAAAATCTAAAAATTAATATTCAAATACAAATTATTAATTATATTATTTAATTTTTTTTACGCAAAATATATTTACTAATTTTTATTAGAAAGTAGTCATCATAAAATAGGATAATTAAATTATATTTTCTAAAACATAACTATATATATATATATATATATAAACTTTTAAGAAAAATTTTGTATACTATTGCCATCATAAAGGCGATAATCAAGGCATAGACATCATTGCCAATTTAAGGAAAAAACATTACATCAGTAGATCAACATTCCAATGAAATTGCGTCATGTCACACGACGTGCTCACTAAATTAAAAAAAAATTATATATTTTAATGTATAGCCTATCTCTTCCGCATACGTGACACAATTTTATTGGAGTCATCATGCATTTCTGCATCTGGACTCCTGATGTAATATTTTTTCCATTTAAGGGGCAGCAATGTCAATTTTTATTTTATTTTTTTTAAATGCCAAATTCTTGAAAATATTAATTTATTAGTCAATTTTAAAATTTTGGTCTAAAAGCTCAAGCTTGGGAATACTTCCCTCAAGCTGGGCAAGCTAGCTGTTCAAACATTCTTATTTTATGTCTTCCACAATGCACAACTAATAGATTTACAAAAAGAGATTCAGCCGTATAATACTTCCCTCAAGCTGGGCAAGCTAGCTGTTCAAATATTCCTATTTTATGTCTTCCACAATGCACAACTTAATAGATTTACAATAAGAGATTCAGCCGTATGGAACATCGAGTTAGGAGTCAAAGCCTCCTAAACTAAAATACTAAACATCTGACTAATTCAAATAAAAATCAATACGTTAAGACCTACTTCAAACATAAACATCATTATACAAACATCATTAAAAAAATACTCAGGGTAGCAATTTTGATCTCATGATGCCTTCTGCAACACTAAATTCTCCAACTTTTACTTATGGTTTGGAGGAAACAGAAACTATATATACGCATGGTTCCTCATTTCCATGCATTCAGCAGCAGTAAGTCTGATCTCAATGGCGGTATTCTACAAAGGTTTTTCAATTCCATCAAAGGAGAAAGTCGTATCTCTGCTACAGAAGGTATTATTTTATTATTTTTAGCTATACCTTGGGCTATACTGATTGTTATAAAAATTGGAACTTGCAGATGGTAGCAGAGCTGATGGGGACTTTCATAATGATGTTTCTGGGCTGCAGTGCAGTGTTCATCGACAGGCGCATAAATATAACATTTTTTGGAGTGGCTTTTACATGGGCTGCAAGTGTGGCAGCCATGGGATACACCTTTGGTCATATTTCTGGCTGCCACATGAATCCTGCAGTCACAATTGGCTTCGCAGCTGCTAAACTATTTCCATGGAAACAGGTTTTTTGCAATTAATATAAAATTTTGTTGAAAATGTTGGATTGAAGATTGGTATTTCTAACTTTTGTTGGTTTGGTTATGTGCTAGATACCATTTTATGTGATGGCTCAGGTGACGGGAGCGACTCTGGCTTGTCTGGTGGTGTATGGGCTTTTTGATGGAGAAGATGCTGGCGCAATGCTGACATTGCCTGGAGGGACGAAGCCTGTTGGTAATCTCCAGGCAGTGGGATGGGAGATCATTATCTCTGCTATTCTTATGCTTGCTATTCGTGGTGCTGGAACGGATCCAAGAGCGGTACGTTATGATATAGTCTTCTTTCAGGTGCTGAATATATTAGAGCTTTAAATTGGTTATATTTATCTTAATTTTAATTGACTTCAGTGTCATGGAAATAGATCATAAATTGCAATGTGCCTAATCGATTGGAGAATATTTTTGTCATATTTCAAGGGGAAAATATTTACATACGGAGAACGCATGCAGCTCTCCGTACGTAATCCCCTCTCAGTACCCTCTCGATAACCTCTTAGAAGGTTATTGGAGGGTTGTTGTGGAGTTATTTCAGCGTTATTTAGAGTCAATACCCTAGTACGAGAGAAAGTGTGAAAGTATAACCGCGGAATTTAAAAGTGTAACCGCGGAGGGTATTGATTCCAAATAACGTCGAAATAACTCCGCAATAACCCCCCAACAATATTCGCAGAAGTTATTGAAAACTTATTGGGAGGGTATTACGCTTAGCGAGCTATGTGCGTTCTTTGTACGTAAATTTTTCTCCAAGCAAAAATATTTACGTACAGAGAACGCACGCAACTCTCCGTAAATAATCCCCTCCCAATACCTTCTGAATACTTCCAAGCTGTCTTTGATTCAAAATTATATATCTAGTTGGATATTTTTCACAATGTATGTATGTATGTATATATGAAAAATTATTACATATGAACTCTAATGCAAAATTTGCGTCCGGAGTTCAGTGGAAGTGTGTTATGTGGCAAGTGCCCACAGGAATCCAGACGCAAATTAATGTCCGATGTCCTGAAGCAATAATCGCTCATGTCTATATGTATGCATGTATGCTATGCCAGTGCCTATTTTATAGATTCAATTTTTTTTTTTAACATATATTGTTCAATTGTTTTCTTTTCAATCTTTACAGTCTAAGGAAGTTGGGGGAATAGCTGTAGCAGCTGTGCTCTTCTGCAACATCATTGCTGCTGGGTAACCAAACTATTCTTGATCTAATCAATTAATATAACTTAGATGAAATCATCTCTCTAAAACTCATGATTTATTTATTTATTTATTTTTTTTTGGTGGGTGCCAAAATAGAAAAAGCACAGGTGCTTCGATGAACCCAGCAAGGAGCTTAGCTCCAGCCATCATTGCCAACAATTTCAACAAAATTTGGATTTATTTGATATCACCTGTGATTGGGACAATGACTGGATCAACAATATATAACTTCTTAAGTATTTCCAAAAGTATTGAAGACAAGAAGATGCTGATGGGGGCAATTCCAGATGCAGATAACAACGTCGCTGCCATGGAGACTTTTCCCCATTCAGGTATAGAATTAATTTACCTCACATTTTCATTATTTAAAGACATATTATATAAGAAATAGGATTACAAATTTTCCTTGTAACTTG